TGCTGATCTCATTCTCTTCTGGTGTGGTCAGTCCGTGACTGGCCCTTTCAACACAGAGGAGAACAACATCAGGAGAAAGGGAGAACGTTGACTTTCACACATTGACATGTTGATTTTCCAAAAGAGTTTGGTCCCTGCTTGGGTCATACATCCATTCTTTGGACCAATCACTGTTGTCAGGGGCCAAGTTTACTAAGATTGGCCATATCTAGGCCTTTTGTCCACTTAGATGGCCTGAGTGGTGATGGGATGTCCAGGACCTATGACTTTAAGAGAGGAGTTAGGAAAGCTTCTTGGGAAGAGCAGAAATAATAGCTACCATTCATTCAACAAATATTTATTGAACCTTTCTCCTCAGGCACTCTTCTAGGCATTAGGAATACAACACTGAGCAAAATAGATGGATATTCTTACCTTCGTGGAGCTTGCATTCTAGTGGAGAGGCAGGTAATAAAGAAGATAAGTAAAACATAAAGCATGTTTGACTGTGATAAGTACAAAGAAGAAAAAAATAAGTGAGAAAGAAGAGTAAGAAGAATCTGTGGGGAGAAAGAGCTTGAAATTTTAACTAATGTGGCTAGGGAAAGACTCAGAGATGAGATGGTGACCTTTAAATAAAGATCTGAAGGAGGTAAGGGAGGGAGCCATGCAGACATTACATTCTTTTTTTTCTTTTTTGATTTCTTTTTTTAAGATTTTATTTATTTATGCTTTTCCCCCCAAAGCCCCAGTAGACAATTGTATGTCATAGCTGCACATCTTTCTAGTTGCTGTATGTGGGACGCGGCCTCAGCATGGCTGGAGAAGCGGTGTGTCGGTGCGCGCCCGGGATCCGAACCCGGGCCGCCAGCAGCGGAGCGCGTGCACTTAACCGCTAAGCCACGGGGCCAGCCCTAGACATTACATTCTGAGGCAACAGCAGGTATAAAGGCCCTGAGGTAAGAGTGTGCCTGGTGTGTTTGAAGGAAGCCATGGTGGCTAGAGTGGTGGGCATACAGGAGACTGGAAGAGAGCAGTAGCAAATAAGATTGGGGAGCTGATAGGGTGCCAGATATTGCGGGGGTTGTGGCTCGTCATAAGGACATTGCCTTCACTCTTAGTGAAATAGGGGCCAGTAGAGGGTTTTGAGCAGAGGAGTGACACGATTTCACTCCTAATTTGACTGCACTGTCTACTTTGTTGAGTAGACTGGGGGCAAGGGCAGAAGCAGATAATCCATACAGGAGGCCAATGCCATTATCCAGGAGAGAGATGATTGTAATGTGAACCAGGGTGGTGGCAGTGAAGGTGGTAAGAAATGGTCAGATTCTGAATATACTTCGAATGTAGATCCAACAGGATTTGCTGATAGAATGGACATAATGTGAGAGGAAGAGAAGTGTTGAAGATGACAGCAAGGTTTTGGCCTGAGCAATGGAAGGATGGGGTTACCATTAGCCAGATGAGGAAGACTGCAGGAAGAACTAGTTTGGGGGACTATCAGGGAGGCTCAGTTTTGGATATGTGAAGTTTGAAATGCCTATTAGACATCCAAGTGGAGATATTATAGGTCTGGAGTTCAGGGAAAAGGTCCTGGCTGAAGATACAAATTTGTGAGTCATCAGCATATAGATGGCATTAAAAGGCAGGAGACTTGATGAGATCACCCAGGGAGTGTGTGTAGAGAGAAAAGAGCCATCCGAGGACTGAGTTCTGGAGCACCTCCGGCACCACACAGTTTCACTGTAGAATAGCTATTAGTTTCTCTGAGAACACTAGTATTTCACAAACACAGTTTGAGATATGCTGATCTAAAGGGACATGTCTTTACAACTCCTTCTCTTTAGAGCATATAGAATATAGTTTATTTCCTTTTGCCTTAAAAATATACTCCTAATTTTCCATTATGGGTACAGTAATCTCAGTAAATATACCTACTAGCAAGACATTTTGTAGAGGTATATATTCGACTGTGGAATATTCTGCATGTGTTGTGAGTCAGGTAGTTGCTTAGTGACGTATCCAGACATAGTAGGTTTTAGGATGAGCCTTTAAAACCTTTCTAACTTTCCTGGGTATTTGATGGTCTTTTGGTCTAATTTTTAGTGCTATAGATTTCATTCCTTCCATCAATAATATTTATTACAGCTGAATTATTTGCAAAGTAGGGGTTCAGTTCAATGGAGGGTAAACTGTTCTAACCCTCAGAAACTCGGGGAAAAGACTAAACCTTGACAGAAGTGTGATTCAGAAATGAGTGCTTCTAGAGTTCCCAAGGAAGTGGGCTGAGACAGTAGAAATAGAAAGGCCCTAACGGATGTTTAGAAAAGGTAGAAGTGAGGAGAGGACAGTTTTTGGTAATGAGTGTGGGGGTCTAAGTATATAAAACAGGAGGGGATTATGATCAGATTACCTGCCTAACTAAAGCAAAGAGTTACTGGAGAGAATGGGAAGTAAAATCAGATTATTATGGAGCTTTGTGTCCACTGTTGGTAATGAGAACTCTGGAAAGGGTTTGAGGAAGGTTACTCTAGCAGTGATGTTTTGTTGTGTGTTTGGGCCACTTGGCCATACTGCACACTCTCCTCTGTGTTATAGAGAACAATTCATTACTGCAGCTTCCTTCAGTGATAATAACAGTTTTGGCAATTTGATGTTTTTAGACCTTTCCCATGGCTGCTCTTTTCAAATCGGTAGAATGTAAACAGGATTTTTTTTTAATATTAGCATTTCGTGGAGGATTAATGGTATAAACTTTGGAAAATTCCCTTACAGTTTAGAAGCAGTCGTGTTCCTGACATCTAAAAATATGTATCTTGCCTTTGCTTTTTTTTTTGGTTTCCACTAAATTATTAACCCTAACTTCATTGTTTTTTGCCTCACAGCTTTCTTCTTATGTGAAGTAACAAATTAAAGAAAAAATCCTATAAAAATGCTGCTGAGGGTGATGGAGCTTTAGGGATCAGTTCCCATGTCACTTATTTTCCCTAATTAAGAACTCTTAAAAAGGAAATTGACAGTAAAATGTTACTATAACCTTTTTATTGATGGGGAAAATTGGGCCATGCCTGCCACTTCCCTTCTCAGCAGTAATCCATGGCAAAAAATACTAAGGTCACTGGTAACTTTTGACTTGAAGGGGGAGACATTTACATTGTATGATAGGTATACATTAGAAGTCTATGCCTTTCATATTGTCCTGCAAAATTCTTATCTCCATCCTTCCACGATTGTTGAAATGTTTTCCCTGAGCTGTCGGAGGCGTTTCCCACTCACTAAAGGATGCTTGAACCGTCCTATTCTAAGTGGGAGCCGGGGAGAGACCGGAAAGGAAAGACTAACACCTACAAGATAAACTTTCAAAGTGACTGTGTTAAGCAACCTTCACTATCCAAGAAAACCACTTTACACCTTTACCTCTCTCCTCAAACTCCCACATGCCCCCCTCTTCCTCCTCCTCACCATCAGCTCACTTGTATTTCACTGAAAAAATATGAATCTTCAGAAGTCCTCATCTTTACCTCACCAAGCCTCCCAAATCACCCCCATCTGTCTCCATATGGTCTGCCTTCCCTAGTTAGGATTGATAAGCTGTCTGTGTTCCTATCTGAAGCTAACACCCCTACCTGTGATGAGGATCTCATCTCTTCTCAGTAGTTCAAGGTTGCCTGAGCTGCTTTTGCAGTTATTTCCTGTGCCTCCTACAGCAATAATCTGTCTCTACTAGATCATTCTCATTAACATTCCAGAGTGTTATCGTGTTTCTCATATAAAAAAAAAAAATCCTATCTTATGCCTTCCTCCACCTACCTCCCTATTTCTTGGCTTTTCTTGGCAGCGACATGTCTCATCATAATTATCTCTACTCCCTGTCTCCACTTCTTCACTTCTCATTCTCTACTGGGTGCCCTGGTGTCCACTCTAACAGCTCTTGTCAAGATCACCCAGCACTTCCATCTTGCCAAATTCATTGGTCCATTCTTAGTTCTCATCTTATTTGAACTTTCAGCAGCCTTTGACTCAGGGGATACACTTTCCTTATCGAGCTCTTTCTTCACCGGACTGTTGGTGAAGTCCTGGGATTCCTCCTACCTCACTGGCAGCTCTTTTTCAGTGTCCTCTGCCAATATCTCCTCCCTTTCCAAGGCGGAGTGGCCCAAAGTTTAGAACTTACCTCTCTTTTCTGTCTACACTTACACTCACGGTTGTGTCATCCTGTCTCGGGGTCCTAAATACTATTTACATGATGATATCTCCTAAATTTATGGCTTTCTACTCCAGCTTTCCCCTTGGACTTTTAGTAGGCAAGTCTCATGTAAAACATCCAAAACTAGTCCCCGTCTTATCTGTGCAACTTCATTTGCTGCTGTTTTCTCTCCTTTGTTCCTTCATCTCCCACCACACTCGCCTTCTTCCTATTCCTCTGACTGCCAAGCTCCTTCCTGTCTCAAAGACTTTGCACTTGCTGTTCTCTTTGCCTAGAATGTTCTTTGCTCAGATCTTTGCATAATTTTTCCCCTCACTACAATGTCAAATATAGTTCTTCAGAAGCCTTCCTTGACCACCCTGTCTAATATAGTACACTCTTACCTGTTTTATTTTTCCTTCGTAGTGATTTTCACTACTTTAAATTATATTTTATTTCTCCCGTGCTGGAATATGAGCCCAAGGAGGACATGGTTAGTGGATCCATCCCTGTATCCCTGGGGCTTAGATTAGTGCCTGGCTCACGTTAGACTCTCAACACATGTTTACTGAGTGAGTGAATAAATAAATGAATGGAGTTGTACTATACATTGTTCTATATGTAAACCATGTAATTACACTCTAAATATTTTTGAAACCAAAGTACAGAGAAATGTTTATTATAATAGAATGGTTAAACATAACAGAAAAATGGCCGGTTAGGGCCTGTTGTGTGTAGACTCATATAAAGGAATTTCCTTGGGTGTTATATGGAATGTCTCTTCTTGTTCCCATCTCTGGAGATAAGTTATGTTTTCTTGGTTCTTCCCATGCAGCTGAAGAATAAGTTCATGAAAAAACTGCCACGTGATGCAGAAGCTTCCAATGTGCTTGTTGGGGAGGTTGACTTCTTGGAGACTCCTTTCATTGCCTTTGTCCGGCTGCAGCAGGCTGTCATGCTGGGTGCCCTCACTGAGGTTCCTGTGCCCACAAGGTAAGCTGCTCCCTGACCTGCTGGGGTCTCCACTTCCACTGTGGTTATAGGGAAATCTCTCCCTCAGGCTACAGAATCAATAGAATGAGGATGCATCCACAGAGCTTTAATCTGAAATATAGTTTAATCTGACTTTCATGCTATCAAATTACTTGGCGCTTATATAGTAGTAATGATAAAAACAATTATGATAATTTATTGGGTAATGTACTAGTTTCTTCTTATAGATTAGTCTATTTAATCTTCATAATAATATTTTAAAGACAAACTAGGTATCTGGATTTTAACAGGTGAAGAAACTGAGTCTGAGAGTTTAAGTAACTCGTCCAAGATCATACAGATGGTAAAGGGTTCAGAGGTCAGAGTTGCTTTCATTTGCTTTATGTATCAGAAAACTGGTAGTGGGTACATACATATATACATATATATGTATATGTATATGCACACACGCATAAAAAATCATTAAATCTCTACACTTAATTTTGCACACTTGACTGTTATGTGTTATGTCACAAATTTTTATTTTAAAAGGAAACATATTACTGTTATTACAATCATGTCCTCATTACACTGCACAGTATGTTTGAAGTCATCCTGTTTAGCTCCCTCTGAAACAGAGCTCAGTAGAGTTAGGAAGCTTAGCTTATGGAGTGCAACAGGTGAATAGAAGTTAATGCTTCACTTAAACTTGTGCTGAAGAAGAGTTTAAAGAGAAGCTTGTAATCTTCAAGTTAACATCAGAAAATTATCATATGAATAGGAACTCTTTTGGGGGTTGAGCTTTCTGTGGGTCCCAGGGCAAACCCAGGTGACTTTTCTCTTCTTTAGGTTTCCCCAGGTGAGCAGGCAGGGCTGTGGATCCTCCTCAGTGATCTCAGATGGTCTGAGTATGATTACCTGACAATGACCAGGGGTTCAAGGTTGTTTCTGAGCCAAGTTAGAGGAAAATTAGGAGATTTCCTTGTGGCCTCCCAGTTCATAGATTAAAGGCCATTCTTTCTGATCATACAGGTATTTTTTTCCCCATTTTTATATTTCTTAGACACTTAAAATAGGAATAATACTTGGAGCAGTCATTGGACAAATAGCAGAGGAAAAGAGATGATCATAGCTTATTTAGTTAATGGAATTATCATGATTTGTGTTTTCTGTAACTTAGCTTTTTGCTTGAAAACATTTCAGCAGAACCTTGCAGTTCTATCTGAGCAATCACCTGGCGAACAGCTAGCTGACTCAGATCATGGCTGAAGTCCAGCTCGTGTGCCCCTATGGTTTTATTTATGTCTCTTTGGACTAACTTTACTGGGGCTTGAAAGAAAAAAACATGCCAAGATGTGTTAAATTGCTCTTGCTTTCTCTTTTTTATTTAGAAGCTACAACTAAAAAATCTTTTACAAGCGTTTTTATTTAACAATAATATGAGTTTATTGAGTTGCAAATCATGACCATTTTTGTGTCCCTCTTATCATCCGCTCCTGTCTGGCTCATTCTTTTCTTCTGCGCCGGAGGGTGGTTCTTGTATAGAGGTGAAATACAGCATCATTTGAATTAACAAAAGGAGCCCAGCAATTCAAGGGAATGTAATTCAATAAGGTCATAAAACTATTTCAGGGCAATAATCTGAACAATATATCCTAACATGTTAACATTTTTCCAGGAAATGGTTTTATCCATTTGCTGTCCTCCGAACCAGTGCAAGCTGGAATCACTGAGTAGGGAGTCTCATTAGCTTTTTTGTGTATGAGTGATGTGGGGCCATTTACAATGGCTGCATCCTGTGAAATCCAATAAAGGAAATCCCACAAGGAATGTGGAGTCATTGTGAAGGCTGCCTCTGCACTCAGCCATGTGCTGGAACGTGCATGCTACCCTGTTGTACTGCAGGGAGACTAAACAAGTCTGTTTTTGTATACATCTTGTAATGGTCATTTTTCCTTTTAAAGGTGGAGGATAGTTATGCTCTTATTATTATTATTGTTACCATTTATAATAAACAGTGTTACTACCATGCAGCTTTTAGGAAGTGTGGCTGTGGCAGCTCCCCTTATATAGGTTCACACATTTCTCTATTTACTGTGTTAGTTGGTGGATCTGGTTTAGCTCTCTGGATCTGATTTAGGGGCCCTTCTTGCTATCCATGTGAAAGCAAACAAACTCTGCCCTTTGATCTTTTTTTTTTTAAAGATTTTATTTATTTATTTATTTTTCCCCCCAAAGCCCCAGTAGATAGTTGTATGTCATAGCTGCACATCCCTCTAGTTGCTGTATGTGGGACACGGCCTCAGCATGGCCTGAGAAGCGGCACGTCGATGCGCACCCGGGATCCAAACCCGGGCTGCCAGCAGCGGAGCACGGGCACTTAACCACTAAGCCACGGGGCCGGCCCTGCCCTTTGATCTTTGGTGACTTGGTAGGATACGCTTATGATTTTCTACCATCTTGCAGACACTTTGCTTGCCGTCATCTTATATGTGTCCATAGAGGCCACCACTCACTCATATTTATGAGCTATGTAGGGAATAAATATTATTATTCCCATTTTATAGTTGAGAGATGGAGGCAAAGGGAAGATGCACCGTCAGTGCTAGAAATAGAACTGCAGATTTCTGCCTCTGAAGCCAGACTTTTAGAGAGAGTGTAAGGAGATATCTAGAATGGATTAGAACAAAATACTTCAGGGTTTTCCCATGAAGAATAATAAAAGTTCCTGATCAGTTATCTTTGTCTGACCCTGATTTGCACATCTAAGGCAAATAGTTATTCAGTGAACTCTAGCCTTCTAAAAAATTAGATTGTATACCATTTTAGTCTCACTGTCAATTAATATGTATCTTATGTTATAAACAATGATTTGCCTAAAAGAAGTAGTTTGTGCTTAATTGTCTAAACCCTAAAAAAAACCTTTTAGAGGGGTTGGGATGGAGGTCCTGCTGGTTCAATTTTGTCTTGTCTAACAATCCAGTTGCTAGTTGCTGTTTTCCATATGTAATTTGGTCAGTTATGGTGGGTTTGTGGTCCTCATGAATCTATTGTGGAAGCTACAGTTTAGCCACATTTTCCAAAGCTGCTAAATATGAATAATGGGTTATTTGATTCACTGTTATTTTGAGAGAAGGGAGTAAAGGATTGGTACATGCTGCGTTTATTCTAGAAATAGCTGTGATATATCAGGAAGGAGGGGGGTGCACATCCTTTCTGAAAAGATTGAGTGGTTTAGGAAGGCTGGCTCTTTTTCTGATATTATGCTCTGTTTCTGCCTATAATTATTTTGTGAATGTGAGTATAGTCCATTGGTTCCGGACACAGATCATCTGGTACTAATTTTTGTTGTGGAGAATGCTAGAGGCATCCTCCCCAGGCATAATTAGTTATATGAAAAAGCTCACAAGAGTACAAAGGCCTCATGAAGATTCTCGAGACGGCTAGGCACTATTAAAAATTGTAACTATGACTTAAAGTGAATAAAAAGAACTCAGTAACATAAATTAATTTTTTCCCCAAGCTGTCAACATGGGCTGTGCTCTTTCAGCCACACAAATGTGATGTTTACTATTATTTGTTCATAAAGAAAAAAGCTTCTGGTTAAAAATAACATCTGTCCATTGACAAAAAACAGCTTGGGTCCTGAAAGGAGTTTTCAGTACATTATAAAAAGCTGAGTTTGGCAAGATGTACTTCTATCATAAAAGTTGTAACAGCTTTTGCTTCTTTGAGGGTTAAAGGGGAGAAAACATGTTTCAGATAGAGGGAACTTCAACTTGATGAGTTGTCTGTGGTGTTAGTTTTCCCAGATTTCTCATGCCCATTTCAACAATGCAGTCTAAATTAGAGGCTTCTTAAGGGTCTCTGTTCCTACAGATGAAATTTGACTTGAGATGATGTTTCCTGCTACTTATAGATGGCTATATTTCTTCTCTATATCATTTTAAAGAGATAGATTTACTGAATGGTTCCTGACTGGTGCAATGTGAAAATTTTAACTACGTAGCATGTTATTTCTATTCGGCACTTGGTGATTTTCCATTAAAGAATATATGTATGGCTTTTTAAATAAAAATTACATTGCCAAGGAAAGAGGAATTGTACCTTTATATTTAGGTTACTGAAATAATATTTTCATATACTGGCTTTATTGGTAAGATATATCTTATAGTCACTATTGGTCTGCTACTTCCATTCAGTCTTTGGTACTGTTTAGCAGAGACCAGAGTAAATATTTATAGAAAATATGTGCCCTTGTCTCATAGGATTTAACTTAGAGGCTCCATTACTCTAACAGCTCTTGGAATAGTTACCCATCATCTGCCAAAGTTTATATTTGAGGACTATTAATGACTGAGAATATTTTAGTCACTTTCTAACAAGACAGTATTTTGGCTTTGTTGCCAGGTAGTCAATCTGATAATTAACTCATGTGTCAGATCATAAATGTGTATTTCCGTAATGTGTATTTGTAAACTATAATCGTGGTGGAGATGGTAGGGAGGGGTAGGAAGAGGTACAGAGTGGTTCTGGAAAGGTTTTACATATTATATATTATGGCAAAATTACTATTTAGATACACTGAAATAATAAAAATGGCAGGCAAAGGAAACCCCTTATTTAAGAATGTATTAAGTAAAGGATCCAAATGTTAGGTATTTTCTCTTGCTGCATTGTATCTGTCCCCTTTTGCCTAAAACTATGCCCGTATTGTCCTGCCTGGCAGCTGGCCTTTGGTGGCCAGGCAATAGAATTGGGAAATGTGGCCAGTACTGTAGGTGTTTTTTAATGGGATTTGTAGTTTGCTTAAATATTTTTTGCATGTGTTTCACTCAAATCAGTGATCAGTCCTTTTAGAAAAACACCTTTTACTGTCGTAAAGAAGTACTTGGTAATACTATATGCAGTGGTATATAATTTCGGTCTGGCTTCAAAGGAAAAAAATTTCTAGTGTCGATTGAACTTTGGTGTTTGGAGAACTAAAATCCAATTCTAATAATGACTTCCGTCATACGTGGACAGACTTTGGTGCCTGCTGATTGCTTTTGCTATTTCATCTACTGTGATAACACTTGAAAGTGAGGGTGCCGCCCCACTCCAGAACTGGTTTCTAAGCAAATAAGTCCTGAATGGTTTTATGGTTCTTCTGGTATAAAATCTGAGTTAGTCAAACTTTCAGATACCTTGTTACATTCTTAATTGTTTTTTTTTTTTTTCTTTTCCCTTTGGATTGAATTTTATGATGGAAAAAAAAAAAAGGAATTATTTACTCAAGGGCCTTTTGGAACAGACCCTAACACTTTATGAAGAGTACCTTCTACCAATCCTTTTTAATTTAAAGTGAGGTACATAAATAAATGAGTAAAAAATAAAATTTTACTAAACAAAGTCCTAAGCCATTCCTGGTCCCATAAAATCTTACCTAAGATTTCTTGTCCCCAGCTAAGTATCCATGACATTTTTCCCCTATGGAAAGAGTGACCTATGAAAGTCATTGTCGGATAGCTTTTTTCTATTGAATCACAACTCTATTGTATAGGTTGGGCAGGTAATGTTAGGCAGAGCTGTGTGCTGAAAAGAACAGGAGGTAGGAAGGCCTATTTACGGGGGCTGGTGGTGTAGTTGTTAAATTCGCTTGCTCTGCTTAGGCGGCCCTGGGTTCACCGGTTCAGATCCTGGATGCGGACCTATGCACTGCTTATGAAGCCATGCTGTGGTGGCGTCCCATGTATAAAGTGGAGGAAGATTGGCACAGATGTTAGCTCAGAGACAATCTTCCTCAAGCAGAAAAAGGAGGGTTGGCAACAGATGTTAGCTCAGGGCCAATCTTCCTCACCAAAAAAAAATAAATAAGGCCTATTTACTCTCTCATTTATGAGGCACAGTTTTGGGGCTCATCCATTAACCTCCTTGAGCCTCAACTTCTTCATCATTAAATGGGACTAGGATACCTGTCCTTATTGCAAAGAGTTGTATGGAGTTTAAATGAGGTGATAAATGTGAAATGTTTTGCAAGCTCTAAAAAGCTTGTATTAGGTAAGATGTGAGCATAAGCAAGGCAGGGATTTATCCAGTATTGCCTTTTGTATATTTTTTTATTATTCATTTACTTAGCAGGTTTCCTCCTCCCCCGTTGAGACATACATGTTTGTCCTGTGATCAGTGAGGGATTCCTTCCAATATGATAAGAGGTGAACCTAAATGGGGATAAGCTCATTATTGCAAGTTTCAGGACCTACTTCCTGTGGAGCAATGCGTGTGCATTATCAAGAAAACAAGTTTGGAAAGGAAAATGAGGACACCCACAAGAGAATTTTAACTGTCTGTGAATGATGCTTTATTTTGAATTTCTCTCATATTTCTCTTTCTTTGCTTTGGCTGTCAGCATGAGGCTTACTTGTAGAAGACTTGGTTTTTGCTGACTCCTGGGCACTTCTAAGTAGAAACATTTCTTAAAAGTATGGAGAGGATCATTTGTCACTGCCCATATTGGGTAAGGGAAAGTCAGATAAATGTGAAGATGTACTAAGTCTTTCTAGTTATTGTACTTAATGGGTTTTCTCCGAAGATTCTGAAAGTCAGTAGAAATGGAGACAGAAGAAAGTTTAGTAAAGAAAGATTGAGTGACTCATAAAGTGAACCTTTCCTTCACAGTGAAGAAGCTTCTTAGGTGTCCGTGCTAAATTCTCCATTGCTTCCAAATAAACTGAATGATAATGTGTGTTTCATGGTAGTGTGCAAGAGTGTCTTTCGTATTACCAAGAATATTACCTTTGTTTTAAAGATGAATTCCAGAGCTAACCTTTTTATGAACTAGGATAAACATGTCTCAGTTTTATGCATATTGAATTTGATGAATTGTGTGTTATAGCCTTTGCTTCTTTCCTCTTCCATTAGGTTCTTGTTCATTCTCTTAGGTCCTAAGGGGAAAGCCAAGTCCTACCATGAGATTGGCAGAGCCATTGCCACCTTGATGTCTGACGAGGTAGGGAATCAGGAAGATGGTGATCTGTGAATATCCTACTTGGGTTGTTTTCATACTGTGAATTGGCTGTCATAATTTATTCAGTTAGAATTATGTAGTTACAAGCGTTCTTTATAACATGAGGTACAGTCATTCATGGCAAATGAGCTGACATCTATGTAGTTTTCAAAAAATAAATTTTATGTTGGAATAAAACATATTTTCTTTTTCTAAAGATTTTCAATTCTTAAAACTGACATATGTTAAATATTCTTTAAAAAGTTCAAGTCACTGTACTAACTTAAACTTTATATCTTAAATGTTTAATATATTCATTTTGGGAATTCAAGTGTCCATATACCATATTGTTTCAGAAAGGGTATGTTATATAAAATAATGCATAATAAAATGGATTATGCATTTCTCAGGTATCAGAAAGTATGTACCTGTTTTTATGGTTTTCTTATCTTGTGGGGAGGAATGATACACATACTAAAATGCACTAGCAACCGTTCCTGCAGAGTATCTAGTACTTTGGAGTTATGACCTCACTCCCATAACAGCTTGAATGTCGTTGCACACATTTTAGATATGATGAAACTCCAAACTAGTCTCATAGTAGGAGAAAGACGATTAAAATATAGATTACTGATTTCTGCTTCTGTGTCTTTCTACCTCACTATTTTACCAAATGATTTGTTTTGCTTTATTGCTTGATTTGTGAGCTTCTCCATGTGTTAAGTGAAGAATAGGGCATTTAGTTATGGAAATTCTATTTGGTCATTACTCAGATGCTTACTTTATTCTGGGACTGAGAGCATTGATGCATAGCTGTGCTGTTTTTTTCCCCTTGAGGGAACTAGACATCTCAGTGGGTTCTTTTACTTATTTTTTGTATGTCTATATTTTCTTTCAAAAAAAAATCCTTCCTCCTAAGGTGTATCAATTAAAAATGCTTTAGGCTGCAAGTGACAGAAAACCTGATTTATAGTGGCTTAAACAATTTGGGGTTTATTTTGCTCACTTATCAGGAAATTTGGAGATAGGTAGTTGCTGGAGTTGGTTTAACTTAACTGCTTAATGATAAATCAAGAGCCAAGGCTCTTGCTTTGTGGTCTTAAGATGGCTACTGCAGTCAGCTCCAGTCCTCCCATCGGTACTCAAGGCAGGAAGAAGGGCGAGGGGTAATGTTAGTGGTATCTGTCTCTTTGAACAGGTGTTCTAAAGCTCTCGCAGCTCTGTCTCATTGGTCAGAACTTTCAGTCCTTATCTATAGGGGTGGCTGGGACAGTGACTCTGGTTTTCCAGCCTCTATCATGGGAGGTAGCAAGAGAAAATGAGGTTGAGGCCGGCTGTGTCCGCCACAGATGATACGCTGGCACTTTGTATTGCCCTCCCCTCAGCCCCACAACCCCCAGACTATTACATATTATTTGTTTGATAGCTTTTAAAAATTCTTGTCAAGGAGAAGAGATTCAGTAGCAATCTTTAAGAATAGGCAAGAGTGTTGAACAGGGGCCATCTTCTCTCCTGGAGACTAAAAAATTTGACTTAAGTGAGGTATGAAAGGCTCAGGTTACGTGCAAAGGACTTTCAGATCATCAGCTAGGTTAGAAGAATGGAACGACGGACAAAGGATTATGTGCATTCTGAATCTCCTTCTTTGGATATCTGTATAAAAGACATGAAGCATTTGCTACCTTAGACGGTTTAGCTATTGCTGTGCTAAAAGATAGACAGATGATCACCTACTTAAAGCCCCTTGCTTTATGTGTTGCCAACATAGCTCAGATTTTTCTTTTTTTAAAAGCTAACGTTATTTGTGTGTTTGAGAGCTGCAGTGTTTGGGTCTTAACCTGATCTTAACACTCAGCTTGAACTTTGTCTTCTTGAATTATCAGCAATGGTTTGTCCCAGTAGTTTTTATTTTGGAGAATGACTCTTCTGTGTATTTCTCCAAACCATTTTCATCTGGCTTCCATAGCAACTATATCAGTAATGGTACATACCAGTGGGAGATGAAAGGCAATGTTGTTTTACAGTATTGAAGGAAAAAACATAAAAAAGAAACACAGCTGTTTTCTCAGGCCTCTACCTATATTCTTTGGGTTCATAATCTGAATACTGAAATATTTTGGGACAAGATGGATAATAGGAAATATGAGAGTATGGTTATAGCAAGATTAAAGTGGATCATCGATTGCGTTCTTCGGGATCGACATGATGTGAGGCATGTAGAGAGTTCTCTTGTTGGATCAGCACATCTCTTATTATTCTTTAGGTGTTCCATGACATTGCTTATAAAGCAAAAGATAGGCAGGACCTGATTGCTGGCATTGATGAGTTCCTAGATGAAGTCATTGTCCTTCCACCTGGGGAATGGGATCCAGCAATCAGGATAGAGCCTCCTAAGAGTCTTCCATCATCTGACAAAAGGTAAATTATTAGGCAGTTGGAAGTTTTGATCCTTGAGAAAGAGGTTGTGTTTGGAAAAGGAAATGAGCTCAGGCGATTGCCCTAATATTTTCAGGTTCCCATTTAACTTGATGTATTATCTCAAATGAATCACATATGTGCCTTGGTTTGGCATTTCATTGACATGTAAAATGAATAGTATATGTTGTGATGTTGAAGATCTTACACTGAAGATGTAATCTTCAGTGATTACAAATTAAAGATCTCAGATTATATAATTGTATGTAATATATTAGAATATATTACAATATATCTATCTTCAATATCAATATTTAGAATCAATATATGTATTCTTTGGGGCTGTTTTGGGGACTCCCTGTACATGTGGAAAGATCATTTTACTCAAGATGAGTCCTTGTAGATTTAAAAGGTTAAGAAATTGGATGAGATAGTTGAGGAGAAGCTGTTTTCTGGAAATCTGTTAATTTCCAGGTGAAACAGTTTCCCTCTTATTCACTCAGCTTTTCTATTCATCCAGTCATTTGTCTTGCCTCTAAGTATAATATTTTAAGAGTAGTCTGTTAGGATGGCAGCAGGAAATAATGATCTTTCTCCCAAAGGGTTCTCAGTCCATCTGTTCCTTAGCTAGTGCATGACACAGCTAAGAAGCAGATAAATAAAATAAACTAATATTCTCTTGGGCTCTGTTGTCTTGCTTAGAAAGAATATGTACTCAGGTGGAGAGAACGTTCAGATGAATGGGGACACGCCCCATGATGGAGGCCATGGAGGTGGAGGACATGCCGATTGTGAGGAATTGAAGCGAACTGGACGGTAACTGATGGATTTTTTTTTTTGCCGTTCATGATGAGGTTCTCCTTAGAGCAAAATTTCCCTTCATCTTTCTATCAGCATTTTATTCACTGGTTTGTACGTTTGTTCGGCCCACAAATATTTATAGTGTACCTATTAGTCACAGGCACTGGGGATGCAGCAGTGAATTAAACAAAAACCCCTGTCCTTGCAAGTCTTACTTTGTTAGTGGTGGGAGAGAAACAATGAGCAAGTACAGAAATGTGGTGATGGTTTTTTGGGGGAAAATAAAGCTGAAATAGGGAGTTTTGCAATGGGAGAAAGGTATTACAATTTTATATAGGGTAGTCAGAGACGGCCTTACAGAGAATTCCAACATTTGAGGAATTCACAACCTGAAGGAGGTGAGAGACAGACCATGGAGACCAGGGGTGGGGAGAGGGGACAGCAGAGTTCCTGGTGTGGGCTGGATTGGCATTGAGGCTAGTAGGACTGGAGTGGAGTGAGTGAGGGGATATTTGAGAGAAAGTCAGAGAGATTGCAGGATGTGTGTGGCAGGAAGACTGAGTGGTGTGACAGTCTTCCCCATTTGGCTTTCATGATTCCATCTCTTTCATGTTCATTTACTCAAAAGTGGGTAATGTTACAGAAATGAGTAACTCAGGTCATGATCTCCCCAGCCTGCAGTTGGGAATTCATGTTTCCCAGATTGCTTTCGCTAAATCTCTTTTCATGATAATTCTTCCTTCTCTGCTGTTAGCATCTTCATTTCACTTTGGGTTAAGTAAAATTTTAAGCAGGATACTTGTTTTATGAAGGTACAGCTTTTTAAAAACACTGCACTTTTTTGAAAACACAGAAGTATGTCATTTTAATATGCACTCAAATCTGAATGAAATTATCTTCTCCTCCTGATCACCCACTTGGGTTTCTCTCCCAAATTAAAAGGACGTTATTTCTCTCGCCTTCCTTCTTAAAGTATAGAGAACATAAAACCTTCTCTCCCCACATTTTCTCTGAATAGTTCTTTACAAACTATTTCCATTAGGAATATCCTTGTTCTTTTCTACAGATACGAGTTCTGGGATTTAACTTTTTTATTAAATCAGACTGTAATTTCATTCTTCCATATTCACCTTTCCTAATCGCATTGAGTGTCTGCAGTATGCCCAGTACCATGTACGGCCTTATGCATACCAAGAAAACTGAAGCGAGACACCCAGACAGATAGACAGACAATACTCATAAAGTGTGATTGCTCATAGTGGAAATCTGAACTATGAATGGAGGAGACTTCAAAGGGAGGTTGAGCTCTGAGGGAGGGTATCCTTGGCTGAAGCAGTGGCCTGGGGAAGGCTGAGATGTGAGGTTTGGTTAGGAGGGCGAGGTGACTGATGCATAAGCAAGTCAGCTGACCTGCTGACATTTGTAATAGGGCTCAGCTTGCCATGTTCTTCCACCACACACCTGCATGGCTTCCTCCCTTAGTTTCTTCAGGTCCTTAACCCAGGGTCACCCGTTCAGGAGGCCCGTTCCGGCTACTCTAATATTCCAACCACTGCTCCTCTAGCACTTCCTAACCCTCTTCCCCGCTTGAGTTTTTTCTTGATTTTTTAGCACCATGCATTTTACTTATTTTGTTTGTCCCCTACACAGTAAGTAAACTCCACGAGAGAAGGTGTTTTTGCCTGTGTTGTTCACTGTTGTATCTCCAGCACCCAGAATAGTGCTGGGCATGTCACAGGGGCTCAGTAAACATTTGTGGAATGAATGAATGAATGTGGCTGGAAAGGAAGCTGTGGCAAGATTATAAAGGGCCTTATATGATCTGCTCACATGTTTGGATGTTTTTCTTCAGACATTGAGAAATTTTAATTCATCTACACAATTCACTCTCATCTAAAGACCAACTATCTGGTCTTTAGGGAAGGTGACACCTAATTTGGTGACCAAAAAAGAGACAGATGGAAGAAAATTTATTCCTCCACAGTTTTCTGGTTTTATCTTAAGTGGTTACATGGTATCTTGTCATTGATTCAAGTATTTTAAATATAAATTCTTTGTCATTTAATAAGTTCTCTCTTGGTTAAGTTGATGGTAATTTATTTTACATTGTCACATGTTTGCTTTCTCCCTACCCAGGTTCTGTGGTGGACTAATTAAGGACATAAAGAGGAAAGCACCATTTTTTGCCAGTGATTTTTATGATGCTTTAAATATTCAGGCTCTTTCAGCAATTCTCTTCATTTATCTGGCAACTGTAACTAATGCTATCACTTTTGGAGGACTGCTTGGGGATGCCACTGACAACATGCAGGTGGGTTCGGTTTGGGGAGGACACAAATAGTACAACCCAGATTGCCTTCCTCACCCCTACAGCTCAGTGAGAAGCAGATGGCCTTTCAGTCACTCAGCGTGATTTTCTTTCTTTTGCTGGATGCTGCATTTTACTTTGCTTCTGGCCTGCTGCTGTATTTCCAGCATTTGAGTAATTACAAAAATAGCTCGATGAAATCTGGCTTGAGTCACAAGTGGGGAAAAGAAGGGAAGGAAATGAGGATATACAATTCTATTTGGGCAAAGTGCATCAGCTGCTTTAATTTTGTGCAGGGCACAAGATTTAGATCTTCTCCTATGTTGAATGCATGGACCATGTACTGTTAAACCTGATGATCACGCTTTTTTCCAGAATGCATGATTAGCTTCATTTTACACATGAGCAAACAGTCATCAAACAATTGAGTGATTTGCTCAAGGTTGGATTTGCATATCTATCAGTAGAACTCAGCTATAAGGAGTACAAGCTAAGAGTTGTTTCTCCTGTTCCTGAATCTGCCTCTCATTAAGCTGTAAAGACTGGCTTGACTTATTTTGTACAAAACCACAATTTGTTGGTTACTTTGAAGATAGCATTCACCTTCCTTTTGTATCAATAATAGCTAAAGTTTTAATGATAGAAAAGATATTTTTGGGCTCGCTCAATCAGTTAAAAAAAAACCCTACTTTTTTTTTTTTTTTTTTTTGCTGAGGAAGATTCGCCCTGAGCTAACATCTGTGCCAATCTTCCTGTATTTTGTATGTGGGTCACCGCCACAGCATGGTTGATGAGTGGTATAGGTCTGCATCCAGGAACTGAACCAGGGCTGCTGAAGCAGAGCATGCCAAACTTAACCACTAGGCCATGGGGCCGGCCCCCCAAAACCCTACTTTTAATTGATCCAATCATTAAGAAAAAATAGGCATTGTGCTAGGTGCTGAATACAGAGTAGTGAGTGAACCTGATATTCTTATGAATAGAACCAGATTCAAGCCCTTTTCAAACTCTGTCCTTCTACTTTACTACTTAATACTGTTTAACCTATGTGACATTCTTAAGTGCTGCCAGCCAGCTTATTTAAAAAAAAAAATACAGCTGATTCCAAAGGATTGCTTTTCTTCCACTTCTGTTTTTTCCCCTGGGCACATTTTTGTTTTAGATTCCTACCTAAGCATAAAAATAAGATGGAGACTATCTATGACATCTATGTTAACCCAAGTAAAAAGGGAGCAGTTACTTTAAACAATTGTATTTAGTTTGTTAAGAGCACTTTTATCTTTTAGTTCTTATCTATTGCTGCGTAGTGTATTACCCGAAAACTCTGAGGCTTGAAATAACCATTTCATTGTTATCTCTCATGGTGTGTGTGGTGGATGGACTGAGCTGGGTGGTTCTCTTTTTGGTCCTCATACACTTGAGATGGCAGCTGGCGTTGGAGTCGCCTGAAGGTGTCTTTACTCACATGTCTGGCATAGGCTGGGATGTGTTGGGGACTGAGGACTCTCCATATGACTTCTCCACATGGCTAGCTTGGGCTTTCTCACACTGGAGACTGTGATGACCCCTAAGAGCTCATGCTCCATTGGAAGGCGGTAGTTGCCACTCCCCCCTTTGCTTGAATGTGTGCTCAGTATTACTTCATTTTCTGATTTTCGAAAAGAAGCTGAAAACTCAAATTCTTGTGTGACATTTGGTGATTTTTAAATATTGGCAACTGAATAACATTTTAAAAATGACATTGTACTGGCCAGCGAGCACCTATGTGTGTGTTCCCAGTGAGAGACCTGCAGCATGGGGAACAGAAACCATGTGTGGTAGGGCACAGAGATAAAGTTTACGAAGAGGGCATTTTTCCTTTTTTCCTCATTCATCAGACACAAATGAATAAATTAAATTGTCATAATGATGTGAGTAATAGAATTTTTATAAAATCTAATCTATATCCAAATTGGGGAGCTATTCTGCATCCAAATGACAGCATAATGATAACTAAAACAGATGATTCAAGAAAATAAGTGGAAAAGAAAGCACGGGGAAGCACCCTGAGGCCAGCATGAGGAAGATAATACAGGCAACCACATGTTAAGAAAATAAAAGAAAGCTGTGATTTTGAGAGGACAGCAAGAACAAAACCTCTTTCTATCTTTCAGGATATATAGAGACTTTCCTGTGAGGATAATTTTTAAACACATTTTTTATGGACATTCTTCTCTTTGAGATGGGGACATTATGACACTTCCTATGTGTTAGTTTATTGCCTTTTTAACTGAATTGAACTCCTTTTCAAACTCATAAAACTTAGCTTTCAAATGCTGCATCTGAGACGAGGAAGAAGTCTGTTAAAGCCTATTGTTGATCCCTGCCGGGTGAATTAATTTTCATATAAGTGAGTTCTTGGGAAAGTAAAGAATTCTGTTGGTAACATATGTAGTTAACATGGGTATTTTTCTCCTTTGTGATCAATGACACAGGAAGGGTCTTGCTGGTAGAGTAACATGTTTTCTGAGTTCTGAAGACTTGAGGAGAAGCATAAATGCTCTCCGTGTCAGGAGGTGAAGTTGTCCACTACAGTGACCATTGCTAGATGTTACTCCTGGGAGTTGACTTAATTCAAAGTATCTATGAGGATATTTGCTGGACATACTTTGATCATTTTATTAGTGGATTTTGTAACCTCCATTGATAATTTCACTGAAATTGTGAACTCATTATTTTACAAGTTCCTCTAAAAAAAATATTGGACATTTTTCTCTCACTTCTGAAGCCTTTTTCCTTTAAGAAATGTATTGGTGAAATACAGTTATGTGCTGCATAATGACATTTCAATCAACGATGGACCATGACAGTGGTTCCCATAAGATTATAGTGGAGCTGAAAAATTCCTATTGCCTAGTGACATTGTAGCTGTCGTAATGTCGTAGCACAATGCATTGCTCATGTGTTTGTGCTGATGCTGGTGTAAGCAAACCTTTGGGTCCTTCAGGAGATATTCCAGAAGAAGGCATTGTTATTGTAGGAAATGACAGCTCCATGAGTGTTATTGCCCCTGAAGACCTTCCAGTGGGACAAGATGTGGAGGTGGAAGACAGTGATATTGATGATCCTGACCTTGTGTAGGCCTAGACTAATGTGTGTGCTTGTGTCTTAGTTTTTAACAAAAAAAAAAAGTAAAAAAAATTAAAAATTTTAAAATATAAAAAAAACATAGAATAAGCACACAAAGAAGGAAAACATTTTTGTCCAGCTGTAGAATGTGTTTATGTTTTAAGCTGTGTTATTACAAGAGTGAAAAAGTAAAAAAAAATTTAAAAGTTATAAAGTAAAAAAGTTAGAGTAAGCTAAGTTTAATTTATTATTGAGGAAAGAAAAATATGTTTTTATAAATTTAGTTAAGCCTAAGTGTACAGTGTTTATAAAGTCTACAGTGGTGTACAGTAATGTCCTAGGTCTTCACATTCACTCACCACTCACTCACTGACTCTCCCAGAGCAATTTCCAGTCCTGCAAGCTCCATTCATGGTAAGTCCCTATACAGGTGTGCCATTTTTTATCTTTTTTTTTTTTT